ACATCTGGAGTATTGTGTCCAGTTCTGGGCTCCACAGTATAAGAGGGATGTGGAGCTGATGGAGAGAGTCCAATGCAGGGCCACAAGGATCATGAGGGGCCTGGAACATCTGCCCTATGAGGAGAGGCTGAGGGAGCTGGGCCTGTTCAGCCTGGAGAAGAGAAGGCTGAGAGGAGACCTGATCAGTGTCTATAAGTACCTCAAGGGAGGCAGTGAGGAGGATGGTGCTGGCCTCTTTTCAGTGGTGGCCACCGACAGAACTAGAGGAAACAGTTAGAAACGGAGGCATTAAAAGTTCCACAGGAACTTAAGGAACAATTTCTTAACATTGAGGGTGACAGAGCACTGGAACAGGCTGCCCAGAGAGGTTGTGGAGTCTCCTTCTCTGGAGATCTTCAAAACCTGCTTGGATGCAGTCCTGTGCCACGTGCTCTAGGTGACCCTGCATGTGCAGGGGGGTTGGACTCGATGACTTCTAAGGGTCCCTTCCAACCTTAAGCATTCTATGATTCTATGATTCTTTGATAGCTCAAGTTAGAACAGATGAACCCCATCCTTATGTGCCTAAGGATAGACCTTGTAATTTCTGTAAGTAATGATATAATAAATGCATTAATTAGTGGTACAAGATGACATGGAATAAAGCAGTGGACAATGATATGCACTCTGTACACTGAGACCTATTAGGTAACCAAGACAAAAAAACCCCCAAACCTGCAGCCTTTGCTCAAGCAAACTCCCATATCTACACAGTCTGGCTTCTTATGGGAGTTTTGTACGCTAAATATTTTGCTTGAATTACTTAGGTAATAAAAATATTAATATGCATAAATTGTATTTATGTTATTTTCAATACAGAGATTGTTTCCTTTCTAAAGCGCTATTGTTGTTTAAATGTTACTTATTTGCAGGAAATGGATAATTTAGTGCTTTGCCCTAACTCCTTACTTGTATAGTTGAAAAATGCTTCCAAAAATAATTTTAAGGGGTTCAAATTTTATTTCCTATTTTTACTGGCAATTTAGAATTTATGTAGTGAGTGTAAATCATTGGCAATCCTTGAATCACATGAAAAATGCACTCAGTTGAGTTGAAACTAAACTTTAAGCTTTTGCATGTCTTACTGTTGCTACAGCTGCACTAACATTGACTCGATCATCATCCAGAAAATTTATGTTGTCAGCTGTCACATTTAAAATCTGTAGCACAGTACACAGTTTTCTAAATGTTTACTAAATTAGTTCAAATATTTATGAAGAATTGAAATCTTGCATATGGTCTTAGAAGTTAGACCATTTATTAGTGTCATAAAGGGTTTTTTTATTTTTATTCTTTGTACATGCATTAGAACTTTATA